GAGAATGGAGTTTTTAGTTAAAAAAGACAATAAAAGTAAAATAAAGAATATACAACAAACTAATAGAGTAGTTGGTTGGCTTAAATTCTTAAATTTATTAATAAATAAAAAGAATGTAGAAATTCATTAAACGGAATAAAAGTTAAATGATAACATAATGTTATAAATATTGTAAGACTTTGGCTTGTAAAAGAACCTTTTTAAGTCTTTTTTGCCAGAACTAAGTTCTTAAGATAAAATAAAGTAAAAGTATAAAAAAATATGATTTAATATTTTATATAATTTGTGTCCATTTTGGTTGTCTGTCACCTAATGAAACAATACAAAGATAGAAGTTTACATAAAAAGAAGTGCAAATAATTTTATTGACAAATCATTCTTTTGTTTGAAGAAAGTGTATTAAGAGCAGTATAGAAAAGAATTAAACTAGGAAAATAAAATAAATCATTATGTATTTTATACAAAAACAAAATATTGAAACGAGAGGATCTAGTATTCAAAAAGAATTGGTTATTATTTCGAAGCAATAGGATTTAATCTTATTGTTATATGAGAGCCTGCAGACGATGAGGCAGTATGAAAGAATTCATTTAAAAAATTTAAATGAATACTTTATTCACTAAAAAAACTACAAACATATAATCTACCTTTACTTATTTAAGCAATCAAACTTTCTTTTAAAATATAAAACTAAAACATTATCTGTTAGGAAGTTTTCTGAATTTTATAGATGGGATGAGTGAAAGGATTATGCATGAGCACAAAGAGTTGAAGTTTAGTGGTGATTCTTAAAGGGTTGTATGTTGAGTGAAGGCTAAAGGAAATACCGTGATAAAGTTCATACTCAGAAATACAAAGTCTATCAAAAGGATAAAAGTTATAAAAGAAAGGGTGATTAAACAAAAAAATAAAAGCTATTTACAAAGTCTGATAGTAATTCAAATGGCATGAAGTAATTTTGTTATTAGAATTAAGCATTGTTTTAACTTTCAATAATAATTTAAAAGAATTGTCATTTATTATAAATTTATGTTATTTTATTTTAATCTGTTTATAAATATGTTAAAAATGAAAAATACTTTTTATTTCTTATATCATAATAAAGTATTTAAACAATAATTATACTATTAATTTTTCAAAAATGATATTTAAAGCAATTCTTTTTACATTATTACTACGACAGTCAAACTAAAACAAAAATGAAAGAATGAACGAGTTATCTGCTATTATTGTTTCTAGGAATGAATTGGAAACAAACTCCAATAATGACACCAATAATACCTAACACTAAAACAATTAATAAAATAATAACAATAGATTTTCTTTTCCAATACTTACATCGTTGAAGATTTCTAACATCAACAGCTGATGCACTTAAATCAGAAGAAGCTTGTTTCATGGTATCAGCTTGTTTTTCAAGATCAGCTACTTTTTTACCACGTTCACCAATCTTTCTAACTGAAACTTCAGTTGTTGTGTAGAAATTCTTAGTTTTCTTTCTTAAAATACGTGTTTCATCAGTTTCATCATTATTTGCTTTCATAATAAAATCAAGTAATTTAGGTCTAAAGCTATCAAATTCTTCAGGACTAACAAATGAACGTGGGTTTAAACCATCTATTGTTTTTTTAAATGTAGAATAAAAGAATGAATAAATATTTTTCATTGTAACAAATGCTAATTTAGGTGCTATAAGATTAATTCAATTATTCCTTGTTATTTAATTAAGTAACAAACGAAATCTAATATCACAAATTAAAATAACAATACTAAATCCATTCTGCAATACATAAATTGTCCTTCTATCATATTAAAAATTTATTTTTATTATTATTTTCAATAGAAATAATAAAACAAACGTTTGTCCTTCAAATGTTCTGACTTGCTCTTGTTCTTCTTTTCTTTTTAACTGTCCAACAATTTTTTCTACAGCAGATTTTTGTTTATTTAAATCTTGACCCTCAATAACTGTCTCACAGACATGTTGGTATTTAATAATAATTCCTCCGTACAGTATGTTGTCATCATATTCCAATTCATTATACTTCTTTTGAATTAATGCAATTTTCTCTTCTGCCATTTTTTATCTTTCTTTTTCTTTATGAGTTCTTTTTTAAATTTCTTTTTTTTAATTTAAAAATGTTTTATAGAATGATAATAAAAAATTGTTTTAATTTTCCCATATAACAATCTTATTGGCATGTCCCGAAACAATTTGTGATTGAACTGGATTCCATGAAACTGCATAACACCCAGCCTTAGTTGGTTGAGTTAACTTTGGTTTTAATACTGTCTCTAACTTCTTTGATTGGGTATCCCAACAGAAAACTTCTCCATTTGAAGAACCTGCAATAATGTACTTTCCATCAGGAGAGCAACATATTCTAGATGAACTTGTTACTGTAAAGTCTGGATGAGAAAATGATGAAATAACTTTTCTGTCTACACCATCAACGTATTGAATAATATTGTCTTTACCAATACTGACAAAATATCTTCCATCTAATACATTGATGATATCACTCACAGAACTTGTATGAATACTTTTATTAATATCAATACATTCTTTACTTCTAACGTCCCAGAATCTTATAGTATTGTCACAATGTCCAGTTAGTACTAAATTACCCATTCCCCCCATCATCATACAATTACAACTAGAAAAACATACTGTAGTTTTAAGACAATAACCTTTATTAACATCCCATGTTTTTAATGTCCTATCATGACTACCAGTCATAATTTTATCAGTGTCATAAAATTCTCCACAAGTTACTTTACCATTATGCCCAGTTAAACTATGTCTTAATCTTGAATTAGCTAAATACCATACTTTAGCAGTAGAATCATTGCTTGTGGCAAGTAACATATCTCCCATTGGACTAAAAGATAAATGTGTAAAACTTTGTAATACACCTCCAACCGATGATTTAATTTTACCAGTAGAAACATCCCATAACTTTACTGTTTTATCTGCTGAGGCAGATGCAAGAACAGTACCATTTGAATTATATCTAAAACATAAGATATCACTAGAATGACCAGTGACTTGTCTTTTACATTCTGTAGGTAACTTGTTTGCACTTAAATTCATTCCATTTACTTGAGAAGAAGAGGTATTAGTATTTGATAAATAAGACTGAGTTGATGAATTATTTCCTTGTGGTTGTTGAGTAATAGAAGGGTTTGTTTGAATTTTAGAGTACAACTCTTTTGTTACTCTTAACTCTTGTTCTAATTTAGCATATTCATCCATAATTCGATGGTTTTCAATATTTAATCGTTTTAAATCATCTTCAAGTCTAATCCTATTAATTTGATGAGCAGAACTTTCTTGACGAATAACGTTAATCATTTCAATTTTACTTTGAATGTCTTTTATTACTTCATCATTCTTAGTTTGAAGTACACTAACTTCTTCTTGTTTTAATTTGACCATATTTTTAGTTTGTTCTAGTTCTTGTTCAACAGCAATTTTTTCTTGTTCAACATTGCTAAGTTTAACTGAAATTTTATGATAATCTTTTACAATATCAATATTTTCTTGTTTGAGTTTATCAATTTCTCCACTTAATTCAGCTGTTTCATTAGCTTCTCCACCACTTCCACAACATTTAGTAACAACTTTAAAAGGATCTTTTTCAATTTTATCTCTTTTTTCTAGTTTAGAGTAAAGGAGCACATGAATTTTGTTAATATCTATTTTTCCTTCTTCCATTTTGTTTTAAGGTATTTTAAGTTTAAGTTCTAATTTTAAGTAAATAAGAAGTGATATAATAACTAGTTTAATAAAAAAAATTATGAATTTATTCAAAACATATTTTTTTTATATTATTGTTTTTATTGCTAGAAATGTTAATTTATCTAGTTTTGTTCATATTATGTACTATTCCAACGTACTCTTCTTTATTGGATTTTATTGTCTGTTTTCTAATGCAATCACTTGTACACTTAAAACTGATTTGAGTGAAGGAGAGTATTCATTCAATCAACCAGAAATATGGACAACAACGGAATTAACCAATGGTTGTCCTTGTAATACTAACCCAATATTTGGTCCAGAATGTATTATTGTTATAAGTAATATATCTCAACCAATTATTTTAAGTGAATTATCAGGTCAAATAGGAATTTTTAAAGTATCAAACAATACAAACACAACGTTAGTATATACTCATACAAATATATATAATATGGTAATTGGTAATATTACATTATTACCTACAAATAGTTCATCATCTCTTTATATTTCGAATTTGGTTGTAAAAGAAACAACAAATCGACTTATAATAGAAGGAAATTATTTTATTTATTCTTTAGAAACAAGTCCTAAAACAGAAAATAATATTATTAGATTAGACTCTGGATATATTCATGACATTATTATTTATAATTCATTAATTGAAATTAAAAAAGGTCCTCTCTATGTATCACATGACCTTACAAATAACCTTATTGAAAATGAAGAACAAAAAGAAGAATCACCATCAAGAATAGAAAATAGTACAATATTTCTTCACTCAAATCAAATTATTTGTAAATCAAGTAATGTTATTGATTTAGAATTAAATAATGTTAAATTAGAATTTGAATTAAATTCTAATCCCAAAATTTTATCTACTCATTCAGTTAAAATATTTAATCAATTATCACTACAAGCAAATTATAATGGAAATATTTGTGTAGATAAAGTTATTCCAATTGCAATATCAAGTGTTGGATCAATTTTATTTGATAGAAATGAAGTAAGTTTACATATGAGAAGTGAGACATACAATAGACTACAATCATCACTTAATACAATTGAAATTTGGTTATATTCAACAGACTGTCCAACCAATTTACTTGAACCAAAAACTATAAGTATTATTTTTACATGCCTATTAGTTATTTCATTTGTTGTTGCACTATTATTAATTATAACTTATTTTACTTTTGTTGTAATATCAGATAAAGTAGGAAAAAAGTATATTGAATTATTAACACTTGAAGCACTTGGAGAACAAGAAGATACATCATCTTCTGAAATGTAAAAAAAACAATTCTTGAGATATCTTAGAAATAATTAAATTATTTAATCTAAGTCTTCATTCTTTTAACACATCAAACCATTCACTCTCTTGTAATACAGTTATGTTTGGTAATTCATTTTCATATTCAACTCGTAAATCTACTCCATTACGAGTAAATTTAATTAGTGGTAATGGACATATTCCTGCATGAAGACTAATAAATTGATAATTGATTGTTATTTGTTCACCAACTTCTAATTGGATTTTTCTTGTATTAAATCCACAAACACAAAAATATTCATTATTATCTACTTGAACTAATAAATGTTTATTATCTTCATTTGCTGTTATTGACAAAATAACATTCACTGATTCTCCTTTACTAATAACACAAGTATCCCATTTGTATTGAACCTTATAGAATGTTGGTATTTTAATAAAATCTATAGTATTATTATATTGGTAAATTTTTCCTTTATATTCAAATACAACATCTAATTGTTGGACTCCATCTTCACAACTATTAGTAAGATAGTTATAACTTTGGTTTTTACAGATCTCAATGTCCTCTTCAAGTTTATTCATAATTACATTATTAACACTTAATGCAATAGTTTTAATCATGATTTTACCATCTACTTTATTGCTAATAGGTATTTCAACACACCAGTGTTGGTTCTGATGAATAGGATGGACAGTATTAGGAAATGAAATAGGGTCTTGTACTATGGCAATAGTTTCAAGACTAAATGGCCATTCTCCTTCACATTTAAACAAACACTTACAATCTTTTTTTTCATAACTTAAACCTCTAATTGGTAAATACAATGCAATTTGACATGGCACTTCAAATGAGGTCATATCAATAATTCCATGTTTCATTGATATCTTACCATCTATGGACTCATTAGAGTTTTTTAATTTATAAGCTACAGTTGTAGTTTTTTTAAAGACTTTACCTTTAACCTTGAATATTGAAACAGGTTTATTCATGTCAATTTTAACCCCTACTTTTCCTTCCCATTCTTTATCTACTTTAATAAATTCTGGCATATGACATTCCATACTAATAGGTTGATTAGATTCATTCTTTGAATGAATTGATGTTGGAACAAGAAGCGTTGGACCATTCTTAACTTTAATCAAAAGAGGAGAAGAGTTGATTGTTAAAACGATAGGTTGGTCAGGGTATAAAATTAATTCAGTATTATTAATAACACATTCTAACGTTAGTGGAATGTTTAGTGTTAGTGTTGTGGGGTGAGTAGAAATTGTAATAACATTTTCAGCACTGATTGTTTCTTTTTGTGATGAAGTGAAAAATTGTTTTATTTCATTGATAATTGAAGAAGTATTAAGTAAAGGATGTCCAATAATATTAAAGTTGGTTGCCATTGTTATTTTAGTATCTTCATCAATCTTTGATAGTACTAATAGTCTTAATAAAATGAATATTCTTTTTTTTATTGAAGATGTACAATGATATGCAAGTACATAACAATAATATGATCTTGATAAATGATTCATTAAAGTAAATTCTTTTGCTATCTCAAGAAGTAATTCTAAAGCTAGTTCAAGTTTAGCGTTTTGAAAATAAAATAATGCTAATTTCATTTTTATTAAACATTTTACATTACCTTCTGGGAGATATTTTATACATAAATTTAATTTGTCTAACATTGCTTCATTAAATAAGGCACGTTCTCCAACAGCTTTTGATAAATTAGGTGGTGTAAATTTTGGTAACTCAAATTTTAATTGACAACATTTTAATGGAAAGTCATCGTCCCAATGAAGAAGGTCTGGAGAAGGAGAATACACTCCCAAAGCAATACCAATATTTTCTAATGAACGTATTTGACAAAATAATAAAGGTGATTGATACTCTAAATTAATTATAGTTAAATACTCTTCACAACAACTATAGATAAATACTTCTTGATATAACAATGGTACAAAAACAAATTTAGATAATGATTCAATATATTCTTCTGATGTTTTAATCTCTTTCATTGCATAAACACTTGCTTTTTTTGGATGTTTTGTTTTTATTAAATTAATTAAATTTGAATAACAATAATGAAAAGCACTTAATCTGTTATCATCTCCATTTGAAGAAGTTCTTTGATCAAATGGTAATACACGCTCTTTTAAAATATCTACATCTTTAGAAATTTCATTTGGAAAGATATATAATGCATTTATTGTTTGTTTTAATAAATTAATTTGTTCTTTTTTATTTCCTGTTTTTTGATGAAGAAGTAAATTACCATTTAATTCTTTCATAAAATTAGGAAGATTAAGAATACTTGATAAATGTTTCGTAGTCATTTAATTGTTTAGTAAATTATAAATATTGAGATCATTTAATTAAATACTATCAATTCTATTAAATGAAAATTGAGTGTCATACAATTTTTATCTTTAAAAAAAAGACTTGAAGAAGGAACAACAGAAATTCTTTAACATTGATGAATTAAAGAAAGATTTACACTCACAAGGATAGCATTTTTTATAATTATAAAAAAAATAAAATTCAACTAAGAATAAAAACCGATAAAAAATACTTTATTTTTTAAAAATTACAAATAAAATAAAAAGAATTAATTCTTATTAAAATAACAATAAAAAATATTTTTTATATTAAAAAAAGAAAACACAAAAAGAAAATTAATACGCTAATGAATGGGTTAAAAAGAAGCGTTTAATTTGAGGTGGTATTAAAAGAGTAATCAGCTCCTCCAGCCTTCTTAATTTTAGCAGCAATTTCTTCTTCGACAAGATCATCTAATGAAGTGGCATGTAATTCAATATGGAAGTAATTAATAATATTCTTAACATCACCCTTAAGAATAGACATAACAGCTCTTAATTTTGGTTTTTTAATTGCTTCACCAGCCCATGAAATGAAGACAAATTTAACACGTCTTGATTCTTCATCACCAGAAATTGTTCTATAATAAGCAAATTGAAGGGCATCATCCTTAAGAGCAGCTTTAACTTCTTCAAGTGATCCCTTTCCTTTAGCATCAACAACAAGTTTATTTGGTTGAGTTTGAACACCAAAGACAACATAATCAACATCTTCATTTCTGTCATCAATAACTTCAGCAACTGGGCCAGCAACTTCACTAAGATCAAATCCAGACATCTTTATACTTTGTTCAAAGAGTTCATTTCAACTCTTAAATTGATTGTTCCACGTGGCATCTTGAAGAGTTATTTAATGAGATGGTTGTAGGTGAACTTCTTTTCTTTTAATTTTCCCGTTCTATTAGTACCTTTTTTCCTATATTCTTTGACTCCTTTGTTTTTCAGTTTTGGTCGCCTCTATTCACTATTTTTAGATAAATTTAAAATAGAAATTTTGAAAAAACGAATAGCAAAGGAAAAACTGATAGAAATTTATTCAAAAGATTTTAATTCTTGTTTAAAAAAGGGAAACTTGTCTGTTTCTTAACGAACTTAAAAAAAAATAAATTGAATCCTTCAATTTGAATTAATACAAAAAAAAATTAATTACTCACATGACTTTATAGTTGATTTAGTTGTTTGTACATTTCTTTGTAAATAACCTTTTTGGTAAGGAGTCTTTCTATAAAAAGATGTATTTAAATTTATTCTTTTTTGTATTGAATTATATTGGTACTTAAATTGTTGAATGATTCGTTGTTTTGTGATTCGTTGTTGTATTTGATGGTGTTGATAAGCAATAATAGCCATATGATTTTGTTCTCTAATGACTTCTTTTTGTTTTGTATTAAATCTTCCACTATGAACAGAATTATTTGAAGATAAAACAACACACTCTCTAGTGTCTGGTAAATGAATGTGTTGTTTGTAATATAATGATAATGAACGGTGACCGATGATATGTCCATTAGATAATTTCATATGAGTGTCATTCATATCAATAATACTTACTTCTTTTTTTACTGGAGGAAAGTAATAAAATGGTGAAAAAGATTCTTCTTCATCTTCAAACTTGCAATGTTGCAAATCAATCATATGTTTTCTAGCATCAGTAAAAAACAAAAAACTTTTGTGACACCAAAATACAGCTTCTGTCCACATCAACCATTGAATGTAATTTTCTTAGCAATCCCTCTTTGTCTATAAGAAACTCTTCATTTGGAATAAAGAATGAATGAATTTTAAGCATATGATTAAGAGTTTCTTCAATAGAAATTAACTTCTCTTTACAAAATAAACACCCCTTAATAGAAAAATGACTTTTTATCATAATACGTTTTTGTTTTTTTCTTTTCTTAATGAATTGTCTAGTCTTTTGTTCTTCCATAATCAATTAGTATTGAGAATTTATATCTTTATTTTATATTATGAGATTAATGATTTTTCTTTGAATTTTATCAAAAATATACTTTAAATTAATTTAATTATTCTATTCTTCTCTCAGTGATTTGTTTCATTAATTTTTGATGTTCAAGACTTAATAACTTCTTTATACGAGTTGGTATCTGTGGTTTACTTTTGTCATGGGTTGTGACATGTTTTAAGAAATAATGTTGGAATGGGATAAATGCAAAAATATCTTCCTCTCTCTTCTTTAGTGTTATCCCTTCTTCAATTAGTGGTTGACTTTTATCATTACATTTAACATGGTTTAATTTAATAGAAAACATTTCACGTTCTTCTTCATCAGTAAATCTCTTCATTGGTACTATATTTCTTTATTTTTATGAAGGTTTAAGTATTGTTTTATCCTAGTTTATTGAATGTCTTTCCGTTTCATTATATGAAAAGCCAAAACTTTGATGAGAAAAAGTTATTCCTTAAAATAAAAAAATAATTGAAAAATTAAAAAAAAACGCATCTTAAAAATAAAATCTTAAAAATCATAATATGTTTTTGTATTTCCTTTTTGTTTTATTGTTTACTCTTGGTGAAGCAAATGAACGAACAAGAATTAGAAAACAAGCAAATAAATTTGCTAAAGAAATAACTAATAAAATGATGGATGTTAAAATTAATATTGAATATATTAGGAAACCAGTCCAATATGATTTTAACGTAACTAATTGCCCTTCTTCAAAAACTGCTCAGTGTGTGTTATGCAAAGAAAAAGTTATTGAAGATGAAGAGTTTTGTGATAAACCAAAAACTGAAATAGAGAAGTGTTTGTGCCTTGCAAGTAATCACCATTGGAGAACAATGTATGAAAATGTTGAAGATAGACTACAAACTGTTAATGAAGCTTGTAGTTTTGTTTGTGAAAACTCTACATTGAAAAGTCAAACAACAAATTTCAATCAAACTGGACTTAAAACAACGAATAATTCAAATAGCCTCTGTGTCCTTCTTTTGACTATTCTTATGGTTTTCATCATTTAAATCAAGTGAATTTTTTGTCCGTTGTTTGATGATTGTTTCAATTGATTTTATTTGGTCGTCAATCTCTTTGAATAGTATTGTATCTGAACATCCACAAGGTGATTCTATGAATATATTAATTGAAGATAAATTAATAAAATTAATGATACTAACTTTGTTTTCCTTCCCACAAAGTACAGTCAATTTACTTCTAACTTCATGACCTTGTGAATAACCTATGTAAATGTTAGAATATCCTAAATGTCCTTTATATGTCCCAATAAGTTGATTATTCTTTGTAAAGTTCTTTCCAAGGCATAATTCATAATCTTGATATTTTAGACAAATATTATTTAATGCAAAAATGCAATAGTCACCACTAATAATAGCAGAATTATAAGCAAATCTTTGAAAAGTTTGTTGCTCTTTTTCTTCAATAAATGATCTTATTTTACCGAGTTTATAACGAATAGAACAATAATTTTGGTCATTGATTGCTTCAGGATTTAAGTCATTAATAAAATGAAAGATTGGTCTTAAAATATTTTTAATCCTTTCTTGAATACCAAATGGTATAACGTCATGCACAAAATAATTTTGTGCTTTTTTAATTTTCTTTTTTTCTTCATTTGATTCTGTTTGATTTAATAAATAACTCAACCGTTCTTGTCTCATTTTCTCAAGATATTTCTCTGTGTTTTTAAATTTGTTTAGTTCTTCACTAATAGAATTTAATAATTTAATTCCTTTAAGAGCTTCTTCTTTCCCATTATTAGTCCATTTGTCTCGTTTAGCTGATATTGTTTCATTAGTTTTTCTTTTTTCTTTTAAACTTTTTAATTTTAATTCAAGAACCTCTTGTATTTTTGACGTGCAAAGACCTTCATTTTCATCACTACCATCTTCACAATCACAAAGTCCATTATGAACTTTGTCAAATGGTATTATTTTCTGAAGAATAGTTATATTTTCATTTTCACATTGAAAATAAGAATGGTTTTCAATAAAAGTGCACTTTTGATTTTTATCACAAATACTATTCATTGTAGAACTACATCGAAGAATCAGAAGAATGAATTGTAACAAAAGCATTAAATCTAAATCTTCTCTTCATTTTATTTTAAGTTTTAATTTTTAAGTTTAATCAAAAAAACATCTTTTATTAAAAGAATCATTTTATTAATAAAAAGAATTTACATTAATAACGGTATAAGAATGAGATGAAGCGGGAATAAATGCACTTTGAATAAGATTTGTTTCAGAATCAAGTATTAATGAATTTGACTCATTAGTACTATTAAAATATTTATTTCTTACCTTAGATAAATGAGAATAAAATCTATTTTTAATAGAATTAGGTGCTCTTCCTGGAATAAATTGACTAATTAGTGTCCAATGATGTCCATATTCATTAATTTTATTAAGAATAAGACTATCTTCTTCTTTTGTCCATTTATCTTTTATTACTCGAGAACATAAATGATTGAAATATCTCTCTTTACATTGCTTTTTTGTTCTTGTTGGTACTTCATCTTTAATTTTATTCCAATCAGCTTCTCCATATTTTTGAATAGCTCCAAGTAATTGTTGGTCTTCAGTTTTTTTCCATGGATGGATTACTTTTGAATGAGTTTTTTGTTGCTTGATGTTTGTATGCTCCATAAGTAATTCGTTAATATCTGAGTTCTTCTTTTATTCTTATAAAGTATAAGAACAGAAAAAATTGTTATCTTGCGTAAAAATATTTAAGTGAATAAAAGTTCCATCAAAGTTTAGCAACAACTCCCTTAATTTTTTCGTTCTTAAAATTCCACAAGAAATGTGTTGTAGTTCAAAAAAATGTGAAGGATATACTCTTTTCAAAACAAAAATTTATTCGGTTACTTGTTTTTTTTTTTAATTTTTCATAAGTCTTGAATGTAACTCTATTCTTTTTTACTTTTTCCTTTCAACATAATTTTCTAACGTTATTTGAGTTAATTTTATTTTTATATATTTATAAAAATTCAATTTTATTCTTATCTCAACGACTTCAGAATCTACACGTGTCCACCTTTATATGGTTATTTGTATGAACAAATCAGATGTTCTTCTTGGAGTTTTTTTTGAACTCTACTCTGTGTTGAAACGTGTACATCAAAATACCCCTTAATAGTTCTATCATCAAGATAAATTAAAAAATAATGAATGAATAAATCTGTGATAATTGACTATAAAACAAAAAAAAAACTAATAAAATAACAAAAAAATTGTCTTTTTGTTATTTATCCCGAGAAAAAGTATAGAGCAACAACCCCAATTAAAATCCATACCCAATACTTTGAAAAGAAACCTTTTTCTTCTTCTGGTGGTGGTCTTTTTTCAGGACGAGTTTTAGGGAATTCAGATGAACGTAATAATGATGCAGATGTTTTTAACGTTGATGAACGACCATTAACATGATAATAAATATTTTCAACAGAATCACCAGACAATGAAAGTTGAATTGAATCGGTCATTTGAGGTGATACACTGTTTGTTGGGATTGATGTGAAAGTGTTATCTACTTTTATATAATACCATAACTCATTACTCTAATTGGTTAAACATAACTAAAATAATAAAAGAATAAAAAACTAACCTTTGTAAATTCTAAATTTTGTTCATTTTCAAATATGCATTGATTATTATTGCATTCAATTGACCCTCTTTTCTTCCATTCAACAGGTTGTTCGCTTGAAATAGAATAATATACATCAGCCTTGAATGCATTAACGATAGAGAAACAAATCAATAATCCAATCATTTACTAATTTATTTTATTCTTTTTCTTAGTTTTTTGATTTTCCATTTTCACTAAAAAAATGTAATATATCCCATTTAATTCAAATAATAAATTAATTAGCATTATTAAGACTAGATCTTTGAGAAAGATGATACGAATGCTCAAGATCTGACTGGTGCAATAAGGACTGTTGAAGAATTGATTCATTTTGTTTAGCTTCTTCTATTTTTTTTTCAAATGCATCAACTCCACTATTAAAATCATTTTCTTCTTTTTCCATTCTAGAATATACTTGAGGAAGTGATTCTGATGGGATAGGGCCATTTGAACAAATTGAAACTTGTCTTTCCCCAATAAGTGATTGTTTGTTTGGGGTAACTGAAGCATTTAAAGATACAAATGATGGCTGTCTTGAATACATAGTTTGGTTGATCCATTGTTGAGTCTCATATCTTCTTTTCCTAAAAACAAGTTAAAAATTGTCTTGTTTGAAGTTATTGAACAAGAGAGATAAATGAAACAAACAAATACTTTCTAAGAATTAAAAGAAGAATAGTGGTAATAACAATAAATCCAGTAATTCCAATATACATTTGATATTGTTTATAATCAAGCTCTTTGACTTTTTCTTTGATATTGTTTATATAATCATTTGATGTGATAGAATCCATTCCAAAGGGTCTGGTTATTAAGATTTTATATCGTAATATTTTGTTAAATATATTTTTTCATTAAATAATAATAAATATACTATAAATATTTAATTTATTTCATTTTTATCAATAAATAAATCTTAAACAAGTCAAAAAATAAGAAAAAACAATTTTTCTCTTTTTAAACCCAAATGAACACTTCCAATACTTTATGCTTTCTTTTAATATTCTTTCTATATTTTGTTTGTCATTAATCCTTTCTACATGCTTTTTTATTTATACTATAGATTTGTGGGGCAATGGTGGCATTGTTAGGATTAACTAGGTATAACACAGGATATAATTTATCACCAGCAGTACACCATCCTTTATCTATTGGAATTCTAATGATATTAATTGGTATTTCAATGTGTTTAGCATCAGTTTCAACAATTATTTCATTAGCAAAGAAGAATACAATTGCAGGAATAATATCATTATCATTATTTGTTTTAGTTTCCATAATGTTAACGGTTCAAGCTATTATGTGTGGTATTGATTACACAGTATTAAAAGTAGATAAAATAGAAGAATATGATCTTCAAGTAATTGAAGAACAATTCAATTGTTGTGGATGGAAAAGTATAAGACAAAATTGTATTTCTGACATCGGATTATTGATGAAACAAAATTGTTTTGAAACAGTTGGAAAGAATGTGATATCAATGTTTGGTATAGACACATTTATTTCAGTTTTATTCCTAGTGTTTACTTTCTTCTTAATTTTTGTTTCTTATCAATCTCTAAAAACAAAACCTCAGAAAGCACATGTTAATTGAGTTTATCATAATCTTTGTTATTTCTTTTAATTCAAAATGAACTCAAAAATTTTTAATTATTTATGTATTATTCAATTTATATCCAGTTTCCTTGTTGTTTAAGTCAAATTCAATTTAACAGCTTAATTAAAAATTTAACAAATGAAGAATTCAAAAAAATGAGTCGTTTTATTGGATATGACTCATGTGGAATTCCATTAAAGAGTTATGAGATACCATCTGCTGTAGAATATTGTATTGTGAGAAGAATGAGAAAAGAATTTTTTGAGAGACACAACCTTTCACAAAATGATAATAAATGTAATGAATATGGAAAATATGATATTGTTAATAAAAATATCCATTATAATTGGAGTCATGATGAATGTATTGGGTTTATTGAAGGGCCAAAAGAAGTTGGTATTGATATAGTTAATTTAAAAAGATTTGGGTTTAATAACACTTTTACTAAAATTCCTTTTACTAGAATTTTAGATTCAATGTCTTCATTCTTAAATGAAGCTGAAAAAGAAAAACTTGATTCTACAATTAAGTTAAATGATAAAATTGAATTATTTGGGATTATATGGAGTTCTAAAGAGGCATTAGTTAAATTATTAGGAATTGGATTAGGAGATATTATTACTTCATTTTCTATAAATTTAAATCATCATCTTCCTTGTATTAACCCAAATACAAATTCAATACCATTAACAAGTTTCAATTCAGTCGTTAATTACAAATCACTTCCACTTTATTTGTACTGTTTTAAATTAGATTCTTTCATATGTTCATTTGCAACCTATGATAAGTTAAATTATATACCATTAAATTTTACAAATTATTATTCATAATTAAAATTAGTATAAAATGAATCTAAACAAAAGGGATAAATTCTTTTTTTATTAATTCAATTTAAATGATCAATTAATGCTTTACTACTATCATCATTGGTTTCTGTTTTATCATAAATTTCAGAAAAATTGATATCTTGGTAATCGTTTTTTTTTCGGATATTATGACAGTTACAACAACATGTCAAATCAAATGAAATAGGGAACTTTTTATGTCCTACTGTCATATGTTTTGGTGGATTTAATAATTCATAAATAAATTTCAAAATGAAAGGGAACGAATTTATTAAGGTAATTATTGCAACTCTCCACCAAAATCCAAGGCTGAATACAAATGATGGTTCAAAAGTTGGTCTTAAAACAATAATAGAAATAAGATACATTAATACAGATGATGCTTCTGAAGCAAAAATAATCCAATTCCATCGTCTAATAGTAAATCCAATATTTAATAATTCTATCAAAATTAATACTGTAAATGAGATAGATACTATATGAACAAAGTTTGAGTCAAATAATACCATTGTTAACATCATAATAACTGATCCTTGTAATATACTAATAAACATCCATGCTGAAAATGTTTTAAATGATAAATTTTGACCCTTTTGCATTTCAAGATATAATACTGGGAATTGCATAATATCTTTTAATGAAATTCGTTCATCTAATACTAATGAAAATACCGGAGCCATAGTATAAAAAGTAGAATACCCAACAAGTAAAATACCAGTAAATAAAGTAATTGGTGTAAAATAAAATACCATTGAAAATACTGCTTGCATAATAGAAATAATCATTCCTCTATGCATAATAAATAATGCTAAATCACTTGTTCTAATATATGAATTTCTTCCATGCCACAATAATAATTTTAACATATGACTAAATTGTTTAATACTAAAATCTGCTGCCATTGATGCTTGTTTACCTTCTTTACCTTCAATTCCTAATCCAACATCAGCTTCTTGAATCATACTTACATCATTTCCTCCATCTCCAATAGCACATGTTGTGAGTCCTGATGATTTTACTAATCTAACAATATCTGCTTTTTGTGATGGTAAACATCTACAACAAACAACAGCTTGTGCTTTTAATGCAAATTGGATGAATTCTTTACTCATTTCTTTTAACATTAAAGACAAAGTATTTCCATCAACAATTAATGCCTTTGTTCCAATTGATCCTTCATTATTAAAAATTAAACGTGTTGCTTCATCAATACTACTAGCAAAAAATTGTACAATTTCTTGGTCAATATCAACTAATTTAGTAGATTTAGCAATACAAGTGGCAGTCTCAACTTTATCACCAGTAAGCATCCATACTCTAACATTTGCTTGTTTCAACATTTCAAGTGTTTTTTGAACGTCTTCTTGTAATTCATCTTCTACACCAGTAATACACATTGCATTTAATCCATGTTCAATACTTTCTTGTACCTTTAACACTTCCTCTTCTCTTCCAATCATCAGTGTATTAGCATGATCATATCGTTCATTAAATTCTTGATATTCTTCTTGACTCATTTTCCTTGAACCAAATACTAATGTTCTCAATCCTTCACGTGCCAAATTATTACACTCCTCACTTAACCATTCATTGTCTTTAATAATTTTTGCCATAACATTATCAGCACCTTTCATTAATAAATAAATTTCATTATCTTTATTATTACGTACAATAATTCCCATTCTTTTTGTACTTGAACTAAATGGAAAAACATTTAATATCTCATATTCAATACTTCCAATCATAGGCATGTTTAATACAATTTTCTTAAAGGTTCGTTCTTCTAAAACAACTCCTACACTTTCTGCAAATTTTACAAGTGCAACTTCATCTGGACTACTTGCCTGATAATATTTTTCACCATTTTCATTAAATGATGGAGTAACATTATGACAAAGAGCCATTGCTTGAACACATCTCATAATAAACTTTGGATTTTTCTTCTTTTTAAATAAAACTTTTTCACCATTATTTTGAAGACATTCTCTAATATCATCTTTAATATCATCAAAGTTTGTTGAACGAATAGTTTCACTTTGCATACATAATACTTGGAAAGTCATTTCATTTTTAGTTAATGTTCCTGTTTTATCAGATAATACAAAATCAACTCTACCTAGTTCTTCTGGTAATGTAGAATTTCTAACTTCAGCACCAGCAATATCCTTATCTTTATTAATAAAAAATGCGTATACCATTTTAGCTATATCTAAGTTAACTCTCATTGAGATAGGAATAATAGATGAAAATAAAATCATAAATCTTGTTAATGATACTAAGATAAACCAATTAGGGTGTTGTATTAAATCTGGTATGATCATTAATATTGACAATCCCATTAAACTACAAAACAAGATCTTACTAAGAAAATTAACTTCATCTTCTGTTTTTCCTCGTTTAACATTTCCATTTTGTTTTCTATTTCTTGCTAATCTAGTATCATTTCCTGTATAAATAACTAATGCACACATCTCATCACTTGCAACAATAGTATTAGCCCATGCAGTATTTTCAACATTTAATGAATATAATTTAGGATCTTCATTAATTTTAATTGTTCCTTGAAAAGAATAAACATCAGCATGAGGTGCTTCCACATTAAGTTCAAATTGACAATTACAAATTGTTTGAATATCCATTTTTTGTGTTTCTCCAATAGCACGTCGTAACTTCCAATCAGTTTCACCGTCTAGTTGATCAGTTCTAATGAAAATTGATCCACTTTCTTCTGTTGATCTTAAAATTAAACAATCTGCTGGTACTCTTTCATCTTTCTTTAATTTAAGAATATTTCCAACAACAATATCTTTTGACTGAACTTCTTTAGGTTCACCTCCAATTAATTGAGTAAATGGTTGGGAATTAGTTTGCTAATAAATGAGATGAAATGATAAAAATTATTAACACAACTATAAAGTATTTATTAAACAAAAACAAACTTTATCTCTTATTCTAATACGGATATCATCATATGCATCTTTTGCCATTGCAAGAATTACTACAAAAGCTAATGGCATTGTATAAGTAAAACGATATCCAACTTGAAGAATTGGAACAAATTGAGACAATGCAGTTATAAGGAAATAAAGGTTATAGAAATATTTGAATTGATTAAATAGACATTTAGGAATATAGTTCAAATAAGTATATCTATTATTTTCAACTTTATTAGAGCAGAATTTTTTATTTTGTTTAGTAATAGGAATAATAATTGTTCGAGGCTGTTCAGGTTTTTTTCTTAAAAATAGTTTTTTTTGCAAAAAATCCCATGCTTTCTCCATAATAAAATGTTAAATATAATTTTTCAGTTTATATTTTTTGCTATTATTATTTTTCTATTCCTCATTCCTTTTTTATATCAAAAACTCTGAGTTATTAATTTATTTTTTGTATTTAATAACGTTTTTTTATTAAAATTATGTTATGTTATTCTAAAAAAAAATATGAACGAGTCAAACTTAACAAAATTTTAAGAGATGTTAAATAAGCTAATTATAACCTCAACTAGAAGTATATCCTTAAATGCTTAGCTATCAACTAATGTTTTTATTTTAAAAAAAGCGATCTTTTGTTTTTGGTTTTTAAAAAAGGTACAACTTTTTATGGACGTTAGATTTTCACTTTGCTTTGAAATGAGTAAAGTCATACTATTTTTGCTGGGGACAAACTACTATAACGAAGAAGGATAAATATAGGTTGACATTTTTGAATGATAGCACGTCATCAAAAATATCATTATATTTGTATAGAGTTGGTGGTTTACAGAGGAGTGAAACAAGAAAGATAGGAGTTTGAAAGAAAATAATCAGAAAAGGCATTGTTTCATAAGAATAAGCACAAACAATTAAAATAAACTAAACGTAAATAATATATTATCATTTACTTTCGTTTCAATATATGTTAGGACTATCTGAAAATGAAAGAGAAATGACTAGATCAAATCTTATAAATTTTATCAACTAAACAAAATGAAAGTCATCAACCAGATGAATACGATCCACTTTAGAAGAGAAACTCACAAAAAAACTTCAGAATATAAGTGTTGCTATTCATTCAAAGAAAACCGAGATTATCAGAGTGAGCAAGAGAGTCTCTTTTTGGCTCTTCTTTCTCAAGAATTTACTATTAAATTAATTTGTCCGAATAAAAGATGTGTTGTTACTCTTCCTTTCTTAAGAATTTTAGAAATCCAAAGAGGACTAGATGATTGTGTTGCAGTTAATGACTGGGTTAATAATAGAATTAATGAAAGATTAAAAGAAGAATTATCACAAGGAGTTTCTCGAAAAACTGCACAAAGAAGATCAGAAAATTACAAAATCACTGAAACCCTCCATTTAATAATGGATCTTCTATCTGAATTTGGATATTTTTTCCAAACAAGAACAACTACTGGAAAAAAAGGAATATGTAAAATTGATATCGCTTATAAAGTATATAATAAAAACAAGTTAATGTTTGATCAAGAATCTATTTCTCGTATAGGATCTTCAATTAATAAAAAAATAATTTCTCTTCCATCAGAAAATGGTATAATTACAATAAAAAAAGGTTCTTTAGACTTACTTCAAATTATATCTTTGTAATTTAACAATTTAAAAAATTTTATTTAACTTTTTTATAATAAAGTGAATTATAAAATGAATAAAAGGTATTGAAATTTAGTGTTGTATATATAAAACATATAAACTAAGTATTAAATCAAAATCTCTTAAGCATCAACAACTTCCAATTGGATAATCACAACAAAAATCAATAACATTGATTATTCTTATTTTTTTTGACATTAAAACATATATTTGATCTCCCCAAATAGTTTCCCCATGAATTTCTAATAATACAGTACTCAGTTCCATTTTGAACACCATAGCCAACAACAACACCATGACTAATTTGTGTTGATAAATATTCATTAGTTTCATACTACCATTCTTACATAATTGAAATTTAACTCCAGAAACATCAATAGTAGCAGTAACCAACTTCAACAACAACATATGTTAAGTGTTTTTTTTTTCACTTCATATTATAACAAGTTTTTGTCCAGTAATCTTAAAACTGCTTTCTTCTTATCAAGCACAAATTTCTTCAGAAACTATATATGGATAAACCTTTTTGTATAACTTCATTTAATTTAACATATCTAAAACTAAAAAGAAGAGATCTATCTTTATTTCCTTTGCTTCTAACAGAAACAGAACAATCAACAAGTTGTTATTAGAAAGATCAGAATCATCAACAATAATTTTCTTTGATATAGCAACTAATAGTATTCCTTCAATATCAGTAATAGAAACAAAACTATAACATAATCTAAATGATGCTTAATCTCTAATATTTTAAATTCTTCCTTGAGTTCTCCAATCAAATGATTCTGGTGTATCTCTCCATAATCATTAATAATCTCTTCATACTGTTTATCAATGATAAATGGCTTTAACATAGAACAATATTCAGTGTCATCATAGTAACAAATAGTCAGTCAATTGATAATTACAATGAATTATTCTTATTGAAGTTAGCAATAAATCAAACAGTATTATTGAAAAATAACTCTTCTTTGAGAGACTCAGTAACAGTAAAGTGTTTATTATTATTTGCAACTCAAGTAATTGAAATTTATAGCATATGCTACAAACACGAATAAAAGAATTGGAACATTGACTGGATATATTTCAGTTTTCAGAGTTTAAATATTTTCTCATATAAACAGAGAAAATTAGAGTCATGTGGAGTTTAAAATTTGGTCGAAATACATACAAATACATTACTCAATACATTTAGTTTTTTTTCCAATCATTTGGGATATCCTTTATTATTCTTAACTTTTTTGGCATTTGTTTTTAAAACAAACGAAATAATTTTTTGTTGACTTTTCTTTTGTTTTGAGTATAATAAAACTAAACCATTAATACCTCTGAAATTTATTACTTTAAATACTTGCTGAATTCTAAATAAGAAACTTCATAGAATATTAAATCTTGATTATTCAAGCTAAGTTACTTTAGTTTTTTATGTACTAACAAATGGCTTTCGTCTATCTCATTAGATGACGTGGAAACTTAAAATAGATTGTCTAAGAATAGAGTTAAAGTCTTTTTAAAAATATTTTTTAATCACCCCCAAAACTAGAAGCAAAGATGCTTGCATATTGTATAACAAACTGTTATAAAGATTTAATAAAAGTCAGTGAAATTTGTTTTCATCAACAAATGTTAATAAGAGAGACATAAATTAAAAGTATTCTTTACATAAAAACAAATAATGATTCTTATTGTAAAATTCATTATAATAACAACTAATATCATAATAATTAAATTAATTATTATTTTAATTATTTCACTTATTACTTCATTCATTTCATTATCATCTTATTTTAACAATAAGTCCAATAGAAACAAACAGTATCATAATAAAAGAATAAATATATTAATAAAATACAAAGAAGATATAAATATATTGAAATAAAAAATAAAGGAATGTGAAAATCAAAGAATGATGAAGCAATAAAAGAGAATCCAAATGGAATAATTAAACAAATGAAGAAAACATTTGTTAAGAAGACTAATTTAATGAAAGAGTTTAATTAAATGATTGAAAACATGATATAATGAAATGTATTTGAATTTATAACAAATGAACTAAATGAAAGAAATTTAAATGGATATAAAGAAAAGAAATGTGGAGAATGTATAAGAAGTATAAAATGATATATTTAATAATATGAAATTATCAATAATCATATAGATTTCATTAAATATAAAAAACAAATATATTTATTTAATTAGTAAAGATGTAAGAATAAGTAACTGTTGCAGGAAGTGTTAATTCTAAAATATTTCATATTGATATATTAAAATATTGTAAACGTTGTTGTATCACTATTCCTTCTATTATTCATATCTCGTTATGATTTAATGAAGAAAAATTAAATACTAAAACATGAATGTGTGTGTAAACAATATACAAACATCTATAATTACAAATTTCATTGAATTTAAATTAATAGATGTCAATGTTTATCTTAACTGTATTAATAATGATGAAATTGTCATAACTTACAATAAATATTTATTGGCTATTGGTCATTCTTTCAACACTAGATTAATGGATATTAAAAATATGAAAGATAAAAATGATGTATTAATGATGTTGATATATATCAAAACAGAAATATAAAATTAAATTATATTTACAAACTAAATACAATGAATTATATGACAAATTAATAAAATAGAGAAATGATATGTAGAAATAATACCTGTAATCTTATCAATAAATTGATACATAAAGAAACAGTAAGAATATTGAACCCACTAAAATTACAATTAGATTTTAATATTATAAACAGTTTTTATAAAAAATCAAAAAGTTAAGTTTTAGAGAAATAATTCTGATAATATATTAAAAAGGATTTAATTAAATAAATTATAATAATTTCATAATAAATATCCAAAAATTATTATTTATGTTTATTAATAAATATTTTAGTATTACATCAAAAACTTTTTTGATATAAAAAAAACAAAAATATATATATATTTAAAATTGTGTTATTTTTAAGACTCAAAGTTGTTCAATAAAACGTGAATTTTTTATTTTTATTCTTCAACTTACTCAATGTTACACAACAAGAAAAAATCCTCTCTGAAAGAGTTATTAAAAAGAAGAAATACAGAGTCTATCTATAGCGTTGATGTTTCATTTTGTTTGTTTTTAATTTGGTAATTAGTTAAGATTATTATTGATTAAAGCAGATGAAAATGGTCATATCAATCATGAAATATACTTATTTTTTAATCTAAAAAAATTAACTCTTCAACACCTTCAGCTTCAAGATGTTTATGGCATAGAACCATTAAAATTGCAATATCTCGATGTTAGTAATAATGTTATAACTTCTGTTGAAGCTTTAAATAATATGACAACATTAACCTATTTAAACCTTGAAAATAACCAACTTGAAAAAGTTCCAATAATTACTCAATTAAATAATTTAAATATTTCTGACAATCCTCTACTAAATGATAAACTTAATTTTATTCACCTTCGTCAAATGACATCTCTAACATCATTAACAATAAATCCATCAACAGTTAAACAGAGAGTGTCTTTACAAGAACTTAGCTCTTGGTTAGATGAAATTATAGAATTTGAAAATTCAAAAAAGAAAGGTTCTCAAAGACTTAAACTCTTAAAAGCACAAAGAAACTATCTTAATAAAGTTTTATCATTCACTAATCCAACTACGAGATATTGTGATGTTTATACAAAGCTGTTATTGGTATTTTTACCTTATATCAAAGAATTTAACTCAACTCTAATAACTATGAATACAAAAGTAGAATTAAATCAATCTATATTAGATACTTTCCAATTCAGAAATGAAATTAATTTAATTAGTCAATTAGAAACAAGAATACAAGGGAATTCTAAAAATATTAAATTAGGTATTTCTTCTCAACTTTCTTATTCAAGACTTGAACGAATCTTTCATACTATTAAAGATCCGAGACAAATAGATTTTTCATTAATTAATCCAGGTTCTATTGCATTAACTACGAAAAATGGAAAATTGTTTGTAGGATGTATTCATTCAGAAAAACTTATAGAATATGAAACAGTATTTGATTCACTCACACTAGGTCTCAATTGGGGAAAAACTTTAAATACAAGTTCAAAAATATTGGTTGGTTCATTAGATGGAATGGTTTCATTATTTGACACAAACACTAAATACTCACTAAAAACAATTGATAATTTACAAAGAGTTTCATCTTTATCAATCAATTGTGATAGTTCTAAATTCATTTCTTCAGGATATGAAAATAATATCTTTGTATTTAATTTTGAAACAATGCAACTCCATAGAGTTCTTGGAGGATTTCATAATGACATAATTAATGTTGCTAGCTTTAGTAAAAAGAATCCTTCTATTCTCTCTGCTTGTTCGTATGATAGAATAGTCACTTGTTGGGACCTTAGAACACCCTGTCGTTCTCCTATTTTACAATTCACTGGACAAACACCACTAACAACAACAATGTATTCAGATGATGACAGTTCAATAGTTATTGGTGGTGAAGATGGTTATGTTGTTGATATTGATACAAGAACAGTTAACCCAAAGTCAATGAAGTCTGAAAGGTCTTGGCAATCAAAAAACGCTACAAGAGCCATATACTCTAATAGCAACAATTCAATACTCTCAATTGATAGTAGTGATGTTGTTCATGTAAATGACAGATTTACTGGAAAAAAAGTAACAGATCTTATCTTTGACTGGGACTCATTGAATGAACCACTTAATGGGAAGCTTCTGTCTATTAAGAGAGATCCTTTTAATGATGAAGAGTATTATTTTATTCGGTTAAATAAACAACAAGAAGAAAAAAATTATTCTTTATTGAAAACAATAGTTATCTAATTAAAGCAAATAATTTAATTATTACGATTTTCTATTTTTCAAAAATATAACATAAATCTTAATAAAAATTTAACTTTTTATTCAATAAGATTATCTTCTTTTCTTATAAATTATTATTACTTCCTACCAACCAGTAAATTTCAGAGTTTCTTTTTTATTTACCTTAGTTAATAGAAATTATTTAAATTAAATGATTAAGCCAATCAAAAAAAATCAATTCATGATAAATTTACTTTTTATTATTTTTTTTCGGTTTCTTTTCGTTCTTATCTTTTTTCATTCCTGAAACAAATTTCTCTTCCTCTTTCTTTTCTTTATTTCTTTCAGCCCGTTTTTCTTTTTTGATTTTTGATTTCTCAATCTTCTTTTGTTCTTTAGCTTTTTTCTCTTCATCAATTCGTTTTTGTTTTTTAACAGAACTTCCCTCATAAATTTTCTTTGAAGTTTCACTAGCATGTGCCTGAATTTCTTTTCGTTCTTTTTGTTGTTGTGCGATAATTTTACTAAAGAAATCATCTTTTGATACTGTTTCATCAACAAAATCATCAATATCTTTTAGTCCTGTTTCATCTTTCATTTCTGCAATTTTTAATTTATGTTGATGCTCAGCAATAGCATTAAACAATTGTACAACACCTTTCATAGCAATTTTTTTGAGCTCTCTTTCATGTTTATCAATTATAACACATGCACTATTATGTTCTTTTTCGAGAAACATTTTTCTTAATTTTTGTTTTTCTTTCAACTCTTTTTCTTCCATTTTTTCTTGTTTTGTTTTTCCTGGTTTTTTGATAAGCTTTTCATTACCTACGATATTATCAAGGATTTGATCTAATCCACCTTCCTTTTCTGTCATCTTTCAATCGTTTTTTTTTAGATGATTCAATAAAACTATCCTTTACTAGTTTTTTTATAATTAAAAACTAGGTTTTATAATATTTGTTTATAAAAAGTTATATAAAACATATATTAATTGACAAAAAAATGAAACAATAAAAAGACAAAATAACTTTTTTAATACTATCACATGTTTAGTGCTTCTGACACTCCTCAACAAGACCATAACGCTCAACAAGATAAATGGAAATCACAACCGGTTGATAGCCTTTCTTTACCAGTAGCAAACACTATCCGTGTAATGAGAAAGTCAGTCTCAATGCCTAATGGATCTGCAGTACGTATTTCTAAAGATGCTCAAGAATATATGACTGAATTAGCAACGGAATTTTTATCATTTATAGCCTCTGAGTTTGTTATTTTTTTTAAAATAAATAATATTGTTAATAAAGCAATAGGGCTGCTGATGTACCAAAAGGATCGGTGAAGTCTAAACACACTCTTACAGGAGCGGACGTTATAGATGCATTAGATAGACTAGGATTTGAAGATTATTGTCCTTCACTTCAAAAACACTTAAACCACTTTCGTCAGGTTTGTTTCTAATTATTATTTTTTATTATAGTCTGTAAATATTTATTCTGCAAGGTGAATGCACAAGATGATGGGTATGAACCTAGAAAAGAGTTTTATGAAAGTCATATTTCGATGAATGATGAATTTCCACCTCAACCTCCATGTTAAATTAATTCAAAAATGGCTTTACATTTCACAATGATTTTGTGTATGATACAATCTGATCTTCTGTTTTTTTTTAATTAATTAATAATTATATTTTAATAATATGGATAAAAAATAAAATAGAGAACTTAAAATTTAGATATTTAAAAAATCTTAATTTTATGTCTTCTCAATATCTATTAGCTGATGAAAATACAGTACAAAAATATCATATCAAACAATTAATTTATAAAGATTCTACAACACAAATATATCAAGCTGTTCAAATTATCAATCCAATCAAAAGAATTGCAAGATTAATTGCATTAAAAATAATAAAAATTAATCCAAATGAAATACAAAAAAATAAAAGAATGGAAGTATATTGTAAACTTATGGAAACTGTAGAAAATTCACATGTAATAAAATATTATTCATCATTTTATACAAACAAAGTTTGAAGAAGTATTTAACTTTAATGTTAATTAATTTATAATTAAAAATTTATAATATAGAATGGTCATTTAGAATATTGGATTTCAATGGAATACTGTAATTTCTTTTCATTAGACAAATATTGGCAAGGTAATCAAATACAACAAGAAGATCAAAAAAAATTTTTTATTTCTGATATTGCTGTTGGTTTAGATTATATTTATCGAAGACTTAATCATCAACACTTATATCTATGCCCTTCAAATATTTTAATATCAAGAGACCCTGCTTCTATTTTTCCAAAAGTAAAATTATCAAATTTTGGATTATGTGATCAAATAGAAAATTCAGTAATACCAGAAATAGAGTTATACGATATTAATTATGCTGCTCCTGAATATTTTAATTATTACACTCATTCTAAATCAGATGTGTGGTCATTTGGTATATTAATTTTTAAATTATTAACTGGATTTTGTCCATTTGAATTAATTCAAATGGACCCATTCACTGCAATTCATGTACAAGCTAGTGTTAACTTCAGTTTATATATTAGTGATAGTGATGCTATTGATTTATTATCTAAAATGCTTAAATATGATCCTGATGAAAGAATATCTATTCAAGAAGTACTTAGTCATCCTTATATAGTAAAGTGTATGAACCATAAGTATGGAACCCAAGGAAAAAGAGAAAATTATAGAGCACTTCGTCCATTAGATCACGGTCAATACGGTCAAGTATTTTTAGCAGAGAATTCTGATCATACACAATTTGCTATTAAAGAGATTTCAAAAAAAATAGAGTCATTACAAAGAGAAGCAACATGTATGAGATTATGTAAACATCCTAATTTAGTAGAATACAAAGACTATTTTGAATGGAACCATTCAATGATTGAACAATTAAGAGGTGGTAGAGATATTGAAGGAAAGTATGTTTATTTAGTTATGGAATATTGTGATGCGGGTAATCTTGAAATTTATATGAAAAATAAACCAACTCCTTTAAGTAATAATGAAATTCTTTATTTTCTTGGAGAAATATGTAATGGTTTATGGTATCTTCATTTTACTAAAAGACTAATTCATAGAGACCTTAAACCAGCTAATTTATTATTACAATCAACATTAGGTCCTTTACCAAGAGTAAAAATAGCTGATTATGGATTTTCTAGAGGAATTAATGACTTAATGGCAACTATGGTTGGAACTCCAATTTATGAAGCACCAGAAATTATTAAACAAAAACCGTATACAGCAAAATCTGATTTGTATAGTCTTGGTGTCATTTTATATCAAATGGCAACAAAAGAATATCCGTTTACTGATAATTTTGAAGTGTTTCAAAATTCAATGATGAATGAATTACCTGTAGAATTTAGAGAAGATATAGTTATTGATGAACAACTAAAAGATCTGATTCTTCACCTAATTACTCACCACGAATATCAGCGTCTGTCGTGGAGTGAATTTTTTGCTCATCCGTATGTACAACGTGCTTGTGAAGTATCTTCACATCAACCAAGAATGGAAGAAGTAAGTAATTTCCAAGAATTTTAAAGTATTTTATTTCTTATAAAAAAATAAAAAAAAAAAATCAATGAATTTTGGAAAATAAAGAATCCAAATAATTAAAAAAACCCTTAAAACTCAAAATGACAAGATTCAATGGAACCTCCTAAAAAAAGCATTAATTTTCAACGTAAACCACTAACAGAAGCAAAAAGATTATCCATGTCATTTGAGGCAGAACAAGAATGTGCATTAATATGTTTATTGATATATGAAGGATTTAATATGCAATTTAGTGTTCCAAGAAAGTCATCAGAAATATGCCAATTTTTAGATCTAGTAAGAATTTATGGGAAAAATATAAATATTGATATGAAAGAAGAAATTAAGAGGATTGTTGCTAAAAATTTAAAGGGGGTTAATCCTGAAAGTAAACATCATGTAAAGTATGAAAGAAGAAATACTATGGCTGCTACTATTAATTTCCTCTTAGAACTATTACAAAAAATGGGATGTGAGTACAAAGAAAAAGGTACTAAAGGATCAAATATTACACTAAAGATGAAAAAAATTAAACATCTTAAATATCGGTCTGTTAATTGGGATAGTGAAAAAATAGCTACTATTGGAGATATAGTCAATAGAAGAATTAAACAATTTTTTAGAGGAAAAAAAAGAGAGACTCTTGTTGATCTTCCTTGTTCAATGATTCAAGTAAATGATTTGGTGGATGGATATTATAACGAAAGATCTGCTTTTAAATGGGTTAATCCTGCTTCAAGAAGTATCCAACAAGAGCCTGATGGTGATGATGAGACATTAGAAGACTATCATGTCCCATTAGCTGAAGAAGGTGTATTACCGAAAATAGTAACTGGTGAAATTGTCGTTCAAAAATATACAGAGAACTCAAAATCTTCCGATAGTAAACAATTAAAAGAAGATCTAGAGACTAATACATTTAAAATTAAAAATGAAATGGATCACTTCAAAAATGGTTTAATGAAAGAATCACAATCAAAAGATTTAAAGTCATCAGAAGGAGATATTATTTCAAAAAGACTTCACGCAAGTTGCATGTTAAATTCTAATGAAGGATTTTTTATTGGGGATACTTTCAGATACTAGACAAATTATTGTGTTTGTTATTACGTCTATTTGTTTTTTTTTCAACACCTTTGTTATAATAATCTGAAGATAATACTTTTATGAATCATTTTATGTTGAATATCTTTTTGCAAATAATAATTATGAAATAATAACAGAGAATTTTTCAGTTAAAATTATGTTTTTATTCTGTTATTATTTCGTTAATTTGTTAATTATTTATGTGTATTAGCTTGAAACTTAAATAAGCCTAAATGTATATTCAAACAATGGTGATGTACACAAAGAAATACAATTCAAGTTATGTACAATCTAATAATATTACTTTGTTTCAGAGAAGTCTGTTTTATACATCTGTTTATTTTAAAGAATTTATTCGTATAAAGAAAGGTTGTGTTATTAAATAATATTAAAAACATTTATAGTGGTAAGTTACAAGTAAACTATGTTATTTTGGTAATGGTTGACTTTGGTAAATGTTGTATAAATATTTGTTCATATTTTAATGAAGTGAGTTATTAAAATTTGTTTATCTGCAATCATTTTCAAAGACTTAGATATATTCAAATACATTAACTTTAATACAGAGTCATAAAGAACAAGAAGAGAATATTGTATCAATATAGTATCTAATTTATTATCAAAAGTATTTATGGTATTATTATATTAAGTTTTTAGAAGAATAAATATTTATATTGTTCACCATTTAGGTGGCAGTGTTGTTGATTCAAGAATAGTAGGTAAGTGATATTATTTTTCTCAAGTAATTTTTTAAAGAAATTATTGAATCAAATAAAACAATTTCTCATCTATTCTATTTTCTAAAAATGTGTTGCTGGTTCTTTAGAAGAACTTGATAATTTATAAATAAAAATAGTTATTCATTGTTGGCATGAATTGATTAATGTTTGTTTAATTTAATGTATTCAATTAATGAGAAGTTTCGTTAAAGCAATATTTCTGAATTGCTTTAGCAACTCCACTATTTTCACATCTATCTGTTACTAATCTACCTTCTTTTACTCTATCCTCTGCTTGACCCATAACTACAGGATATCCTGCAACATCAAGCATTGGAATATCGTTCATAGCATCTCCAATAGCCATGAGATTTTTTAAGTTAATATTAAGTATTTGAGCTAGTGTTTTGACAGCATGTCCTTTTGTTGCATCATTCCTAGTGATTTCGATGAATGTGGATTGTGATTCTGTAACAACAATACCATCAATGTCAGTGAATAATTGCATCCATTTTATCTTTTCATCTTTAGAATGAGCAATTGATAATATTTTAGTTACTTTATTTAGATGAAAAACATTCTCTCCTATTTCTTGTGCTTTGATACCAATTTTCTTTTCATAAGATTCAGTTAGGTCTATTTTTCTTTCTACAAAATATTCATCTCTGATATAGAATTGTGCATAGATATTGTTTTCTTTAATAATTTTATTGATTTTTTCCAGTTGTTCTTTATTAATTTCACTCTCAAAGATTGTTTCATTCCCATGACATATCATTGCACCATTGTAACAAATTAAGTATTCATTTTGTATTCCAGCTTGTTCTGCAACTTTTATCGCACTATTTCTCATTCTTCCTGTTGAAATACAAACATGAATTCCTTTCTTAAGTGCTTTTTGAATAGTATTAATATTATCTTGTGGAATATAAAAATGTTCAGAATTTGATGTGTCCATCAATGTTCCATCAATGTCAATACAAACTAATTGTGCCATTTGATTTTTATAGTTCTATTTTCTTAAAAAGAGATAGTTTTGATAAAGAGTAATCTCAAATAATAACAATATCATCTTGTCTAATTTAAAATGTAAAATATCAAAAGTTTTATCCATTTTAGTAAAGAAAATGGTGTAATGATTTTAAAGAGGTTGTGATAATTTAAAAGAAAAGAGAACATAATAAAAGTAAAACTCATATTAGAAATTTATTTTGATAATATCAAATAACAAATAAAAAAGAAAATAGTGTTATTATAAAAAACAGAAAAAAAAAAGTTCAAAACAGAAAATTCTTTAAAAGAACTAAAAAATAATTATCAGAACAACATAAATAATGAGTCGTCCACAACGAGATAGTGTATTTTACTCTGAAGAAGAACAAGGGAATGAAGTTAAAAGAATATTACGAGTTATTGATACAGAATCAGAGATTATGAATGCTGCATTAAATAATAAAGATTTAAATAAAGCAATTGGATGTTGTGATACAATAGGGAAAGAATTAAGAACTATTTCACTTGCACCAAAGAATTATTATCATCTTTATCTTGCTGCACAAAATGCATTTACACCATTATTCATGTTTTTAAAAGATGAATATGAAGGATCATTACTTGCATTATATGAACAAGTCCAATATATTTATTATGCTGTTCCAAGATTATATTTAATGTGTTGTGTAGGAGCAGCAGCTGTTAAAAGAAAAGCAGCAGCTGTCAATGCATTAATGAAAGATTTAGTTGAAATGTGTCGAGCAGTTCAACACCCAACAAAAGGATTATTTGTAAGAAGTTATTTAATGGATATGTTAAAAGATAAACTTCCAGATGGAAATACTACAGGAGAAGGAAATGGATGTTTAATGGATTCAGTTGATTTCTTATTAGTTAATTTTATTGAAATGAATAAATTAACAGTTAGACTTCAAGCAGGTGTTAGAGATAAAGAAAAGAAAGTTGATGAAGAAAGACAACTTCTTCAATTAGTATCAAGAAATATTCAATTTTTAAGTAATTTAGAAGGAATGACATATGATATTTATAGAAGTTCTATTATGCCAAGAGTGATGGATCAAATTATTTCATGTGGTGATCTTCATGCACAAGAATTTTTAATGGATGTAGTTATATCTGCATTTCCACCTCATTATCATGTTGGTACATTAGAAGAATTATTAAGATGTTTCCCATCTCTTCATAAACAACTTGATACAAGACCATTATTATTAAATTTAATGAAAGTCCTTGTAAATTTCATTAAAAATGAAGAAACTACTCTTGATCCATTAACACAACGAATTAATATATTCCAAATCTTTAGTACAATGTTAGTTAATATTTGTAAAAAGAGAAGTGTTATTGCAGCAGATTTTCTTGCTATTATGGCACAATTTGAAGAACTTCAAATGGCATGGTATAAAGATGATTATACTCGTTGTTATAAACAAACTGCAACAATTTATGAAATGGTTTCTAATTATTTACCAGAATCAGGATTAGATCAATATGCAATTACTCATTTAATGAGATTATTACAATTATCATTAACATCATTTGGAGTTAAAGAAATGTTAAATATTTATGGATTTAGAAATTCTATTTCATTACTTCCATATTCAAAAAGAAAAATACTTGCTAGTGATATTGTTACTCGATGTGTTACATTAAATGAGCACATTGAAACTAAAGAATATGCTAGTAATATATTAGAAGTTATTATTGATTTAATTAGTAAAGTTCAAGATCAACCAGATGATATAAAAGAAGAAGAAATTGGAATTGATGTAGAAAATGCATGTAGGTTACTTCCATTAATTGGAGGAGATGCAGAAATGTTTGAAAGTATATTAACATTATTTAAAGATAAAATGACAGGAGATGCTATTAGAATTAAATATCTTGCAGCACCATTAATTTTTGTTGCACTTAGAAGAAGAAAAGAAGAATCATTAGTAAAATTTATCTTTTCATTTGTGTTAGCCATTTCAAAAATGGTAGCTAAACTTGAACATTATGTTTTAGCATTTAAACTTTCATTATATTGTGGTATAGGAGCATGTGAAGCTGGAGTAGAAAAATATATGTATTTCTTTAAAAATGCATTTGAATTATATGAAAATATTCCAGAAACTAAAATTCAACAAGAATGTATTATTATGGCAATTGGAATATTAACTACACTCAAATTAACAAAAGACGATTTTATTGTTATTAGGGATATGATTATGAAAACAATTAAATATCTTATTAAAACACCAATGAGATGTGAAATGATGTGCAAAATTGCTAGTTTAGATATTAAAAATAATAGTAATGTAGAAGATAAAGATCATTGTATTGATACTCTTAATAAAGCAAGAAATGAAATAGAAAGAATTATTGATGAAGAAGAAAAAAAGAAACTGTTAATCATGTTTATCAATCATTACATTTATTTCTTCCCATTACTTGATCAAATCACACCTGACAAAATTACTCAAATAATTAATGAAATAAATGAAAATAAAGAATATTTGGATGAGGCTCAAATAACTATTTTCACTAATGTAATGAATAGTATTACTATTTCTGCTCAAGAAAATACTAAGTTTGCAGGCATTCAAATTTAACATGAATTGAAAGAAAAAAATGATTTTTAAATTTTTTATTTTTTGGTATTTCAAAAATAAAAAAGGAAAACTTAAAAAAATATTATGAACCAACAAAAACAGGTCATTGAAATTGATTCTGACAATGAGTCTGTTGGTAGTTGCCATCATGACAACGAAGATTCTGAAGTTGAGATTGTAGGGGTTCAACAACTTAACCCACAAGAAGAAATTGAAAGGCAAGTAAGGATGAACGAACAAATGCAAAATACAATTCCTATTAGGACAGTAGGTGATTTAAGTCCTCAATTCATAATACCTAATATCAATTATAACGATGGATTTGATACAGAAATTAGTGAAGAATCATTCGATGAAGACTCAGATGATTTTCCTGAACATAACTTCAATAGAATAACCTATCACCTTTCTCCATTTGGTGAGTTCTATACTCATGAACAACAAAGAAACTCATTTTATAATTTTATTGGTAGGTTATATCCAGAACATTCACACAATATCAAATCACGTCAAGTTAATGAAATTCCTGATTGGATGAAATCACCAAAGAAAGAAGCTAAACCTCAAGAAAAAAAGGAGAAAGAAGTTAGTGAAGAAGTTGGACTAAAATGTGGAATATGCTGGGATACAAGCAGTGATGTTGTGTCTACTGCTTGTGGACATGTTTTCTGTAGAAATTGTATGTGTGAATTATTCAAAAATAAAGAAAAAGTACAATGCCCATTTTGTAGAACTCAACTTACTAAGAAAGATGTTCATAGGCTCTTTTTCAATCCTTAATTTAAAAAAGTGTTACATTTTAATTCTAATGAATTCTCTTATTAATTAGATAATTACTAAACGACATTCAATTAAAATGCTGGTTTACTAAGTTCTATTAAAGGACTTGAAGCTTCATGTTTTCTTTCAAAGAATTCATGATTTAAACATTGTTCTGATGTAAATCTCTTTTCTGGATCAACACATAACATATTATTTAATAAGTCAATCAACTCTATTGAACTTGATTCGAGTTTCTTTCTTTTTATAATCTTTCCTTCAGATATAGCACGAGCTAGTTCAGATGGATTTAATGAACGATCAAATGGAAAATTATTACAAATCATATTATACAAGACTATTCCACAACTGTATATGTCTGCTTTTGGTCCATTATATGGTTGTCGTTTATAAAATTCTGGTGGAGCATATAATGTTGTTCCACAAATTGTCCCAGCTATAAAATCATCTCCAACAACTCTTCCAAGACCAAAGTCTGTTACACGAATTTCATAATTTTTTCCTGTCCACATAATATTTTCTAACTTTAAATCTCTATGAATAATGTTTTTAGAATGAAGATATTTTAAAGCTTCAAGTATTTGTTTAGTAATTAAACGACAAACATCTTCTGAGAATGCAGTAGAATCAACTTCTTCTTTTAAGTTAAGATATTTTTCTTCAAGAGCATTATATTCATCTACTTTATTTTTATTTACACAATCTGCCATCTTTTCTTTTAAAATATCAAATTCTTGTTTATGAATTTCTCTTTCATGTTCATTAGCTAATCTAACACCTCTTAATAAATTTCCACCATTAATAAATTCCATAATGATATATACATAGTCTCTAGTTTCTAAAACTTCTCCTAATTTGATAATAGATGGATGATTTACTTGTCTTAAAACCTCACATTCATTGCGAATCATTTTATCTTCTCCTTTAGCTCTTGCTTTTGAGATATTAATTTTTTTCATTGCCCATAAAGTTCCATCACTAATTCTTTTTACTTTTCTAACAACACCAAATCCTCCTACTCCCAAAAAGTCTAATATTTCATATCGATTTTGTGGTCCACCTAAAGTAGATTCCTTTTTTTCAAATTCCATGTCTACAAACATATAACTAATACATTTCTTCTTTTGAAGGTTTGGATCTAGTAAAGTAATTTCGTCATAACATGTTAATGGAACTTGTTCTAATTTATCAATTCGATTATGATTCACCCACGTCCCATTACTAGAAACATCAGTAATAAAGAAAATTGCTTCATTTCCAATCATTCTTTTTTCAATTATACAATGTTTTGAACTTATATTTGGTTCATGAATATTACATTCCTTATTTGCTCTTCCAATTGGTTCTATCCATTTTTGTAATGGAATGTCTTTGTGTCCTGGTGTCATACATTTAAGAATTCCCCAATGGTCCATTTAAATTGAGTTTTTAGATATAATCTCAAAATATTGATTATATAACTCCCTTATAATACTTTTAAATAATAAAATAATATATATTTTCAGTTCTTCTTATTAATCTTACTCAAAATGCTTCTCTTTTTATTTATTATTGCGGTATCTTGCCAATTTTGTAATAATGAAAATAATTGCAATTCACAAAAAATAATCCAATTAAAAAGTCTTTATCACTCTCTACAACAATTACAAAGTAAATTCAATGACTTAGAGGATCAAGAAATAAAAGTAATTGAGATATACACTTCTAAGAAGAGCCAATTAGAAACAAACTTCAGAGAAACGGTTGAACAGGACAATATAACACAAAAAATAAATCAATTACGAATTGATTTTAGAAGTAAAATAGTTGAGATTAAACGAAAGAGTAATGAAATAAAAGAAGAAATAGGACAAATAAATCTTGAGATTGAAAAATTAAAAAGTGAAATCTATAGGAAAAAAAGAACTATTTAATTTAAGTCTTTTTGTAATGTTATCATTAGAACAAATAATTCAAAAAGAAAAAGAAATTAAAGGAAAAAGATTCAACTCTGATTTGGTTAGATTTAATGTGTTTAAAGATACAATGGAAAGGTGGTTAGAATTTCATCAACAACAAAAAAAAGAAATAATGAATATAAAATATTATTGGTATTTTGTAGTAAAAAATAGTAGTTGGATTAGTGAACTCAACCCTTGTGCTTTAGACTATGAAGTGTTAGAATATCTTACTGATATTAGTATTTCTAATATTCATTCTAAAATTGTTCCACATACGATTTTGCCTGAAGAACAAACACTATTAGTTGGATATACATTATCATTCGAATTTAAACAAAATCCTTATATGAATAAAACATTTTTAACAAAAGAAATAATGTATAACATCAATGAGACTAATTATCCAACATGCACTATTGCTAAGTTTGTTATTTTAAAAAACAAATAATAAAGAAATATATTTACCTTAAATAGTTGTGGAACAGAAATGACAGACTTGTATTATGATAAACTTAAAAACAATAAATCATTTTTTGATTTCTTTGAAATTTTTGATGATGATGTAATGGAAGAGATTGCATTAATTGACATGAAAATTTGTAAGAGAATAGTAAAAGAAACTCTTACATTTTCATATCAATATTTCGAAAGATTAAATGAAGAGAGTATATCAGAAGAAGATGATTATGGTGAAGAAGACGATTATTATGATGACTACTATGATGATGAATAATTATTCATTTGTTATTTCCTTTTCTGTTTTAAAGAAAGAAGAAAAAAAAAGAAAAAAAAAATAAATAAAAAGAGAATAAAAGAATAATAAAAGAATAATATAAAATTATAATTAAAAGTTTAAAAAAGAACTTTTTAATTTAAAAGGTTTTAGTTATCATGGAAAGTACAGAAGAACCTAAAGAAAGTATTTTTACTCAAACGCAATCAAAAATAGAACAAAAGTATCAAATTTTTATGGACAAAATTACACCGTTTACTAAAACTCGATGGCTATTATTTATAATTTGTTTAGTTTGGTTTATGTTTCGGATGACTCATTATCATAAATATTATATTTATGCATACACTTCAGGGATTTATATTTTATTCCAATTTATTGCATTTTTAACTCCAATTAATGTGGATACAACTGGAGAACCATTATTACCTGATGTGAGTGGAGTAGAATATAGACCATTTATGAGAAGATTATCAGAAAAGAAATTTTGGTTTGTTTAATTAAAAAGAAAAAACAGTTAAATCTTTTTGACAATAAAATTAAATAAAAAAACTTATTTTTTTAAGGGTAAGAAGCTTTGGAGCCATCTTTGGTTCATTATTAATGTCATTTACTAAAATAGATATTCCAGTATTTTGGCCAATTCTTTTAGTTTATTTCATTGTCTTATTTGTAGTTACAATGCATTCACAAATTCGTCACATGATTCAACATCATTATATTCCATTTGATGTTGGAAAGAAGACGTACAATAATTAAAAAAGTATTTTTAAGGTTTAATTAACATATAATTTTTAATTGTTAAAATAAAAATGAATCAATATACAACACCTCCATTATCTCTTCTATAAATAAGAACTGGAGAACAACCAGAATTTAATAACACTTTTTTCATTTGAAATGAATATTTACTTGGATTTGAGCACATTCTTTGAGTGCAATT